CCAGAATGTGGTTGAAAGCAGCTGTAAAAGAAGCACACTCCCGGACCACTAGCGAGACCCTAAACGCAAGCAATGGGTATCGTAGTGGTCCTCAACAGAATCGACGGGCTTTATTTCTAGAGGGCTCGCCATCCCCGCTTTTCCTGGCCGTCACGGCGCCAGGCCCACCAGAGCGGTCTGAGAGAATTATATCGTTGCTGTTGAAAGTATGTGATCCTAATGTGATGTTGCCTTCTGGCAAGAGCCCTCTGTATTTGGCTTGTGAGACAGGGGCTTCTAATAGTATCATAAAAGTGCTCCTGCTAGGCGGAGCGAAGGTCGACACATGCACTTGCTCTGGTCGCAATGCTCTGTTTGCAGCGGTAGAGAAAGGTTACTTCTCAGCTGTTGAAACGCTGTGTAGTACTGCAAGGTGCGTTAATTTGAGGCATATTACGCAGAGGACCAATGGGGGAGTATCTCCCTTTATGCTGGCTGAAAACAAAGGCAGGCTTCAGGTAAATCACTGAGTGATAATCATGAGCGTTTTTGTGAGCGTGTGAGACGGAATATATCACCTGTTTTATCGACTTGCCATTCATATTGAGAATTGATTTTAAGCAGCTGATATATGCATGCCATAATTCCTGTTGGTCTTTTCAGATGATGTTGGCTATGCTCGAGGCTTACGCTAGGGAAGCTCGCATATCTATAGATATGTTTGGTAGTGATACCGCTGGTGACTCCATGACCAAATTGGCTTTCACTGTCACCCACCCCTACCTCAACAAAATGTGCCATAAGTATCGTGCCAAGCTAGCGGCACGCACTGATGCAAGACTTGATCGTCAAAGAAGCATGAAGAAATTGACTGCTCATAAGGCCAGGCCCCATTCGGCAGCGCCAAGGCTCAGACCCAGGCCGGTGACACCTAGCAGACTCCAGAGGGCCCCGTTGACCCCTAGGATCGCTGTAAGGGGCCATAGGATGATGAGTCGATCTTCACATACCTCTTGACTATGCAAGGGCCGCTTCATTATTGTTGTGCCAATCCTTGATGTTGATTTAAAGAGCTGTTTCGTTTGCAGTGACAAGATGACCGATGTGAGTGTTGGGAAAATCATATCACTTTCAGAACTCTCGCATCGATCTGCTGTGGCCATTCGAGATGGTTTCTACAGCCTTTTTTCAGTGGACGTATGAGAGCATCTAATGGATGCCGCAGCATACGAACAGGCAGCCGATGAGGTCAGACACACAGATCAACGTGTTGGCCAAGAGAACGGTGAGCTCTCAGAGGCATTTAGCATTGATGTGCACTGCTCAGTAGCAGAGCCATTAAGTTATCAGCGGTTACCATACCTTTCCTAGAGGCAGGAGTTTTGACGTGTTCATTCCGATGGCCATCATATTGACTACTGCCAGTGGTATCAACCTGGTGAGCAGGCCATTGCATCGATTGGGCGCCATAGAGCCATATTGGCACCCTTTCGTAGTGTGAGCTTTATAGGTGGGATATCTTGAGTATCGGTACGTCCACTGAGGTCTCGGCCGACAACTCCTCGCAGCGGAAGGGCCAGCCTTGCTCGAGGCCGACGGTCTTTCAGACCAGAAGGGTTCTGTTCAAGCGCAGCTACGATCAGTAGCTCCATTATACGAATATTCTGTTTACGTTAGAGGTACCGATGCACCTGTATTATGATTGTATTAGTAATGTTCATTGAGTTATGTGACGTATTGCGAAGGTGAGTATAGTCTGATATTATTATCCGCGTCGTGTCCCCCAACATCACCGCATCATTCGGGAACCATTCTGTAGCTTATTCGATTGTTAGAAATAGTCTTGGGTCATCTTGAATAAACTCTGGAGTAGTTTAGTAGAGGCGTAGTAGTAGATGGAGACCCTTCAAGTGAGAGCTATCCTCATAGCAATGACGATGACAGTGAGGGAATCACCGTTGCGGTGGACTCGGTCATCGCAGGGTTGTTGTCGAACCGAGGGTCGTCGTAGATGAGATTTTGATGGCTCCGATGAGCAGATTATGTTTCCCTGTTCTGAACGTCATGATGTGAATGCGTTTACCAACGCAGGCCATTGTGAATTACAGAGTCTTTCCTCCGAGTGATAAATGGAGTCTCGAAGCACAGACCCCCGGTACACGCCTCGCTACCCTCCCCAGCGCCCCACACCTATACGTAGACCACTAGTCATCGCTT